TCTAATGGCCAGAAGTGGCTAGATTGTGACAATGTAGTTATTATCTATTCGAATTTGGGAGCAATCGAGGGAGTTTAGATTCATAAAACGCAATCTGAATAGTGTAATGGGCCTGCTTTTGTTATGGGCTTTTATTGGAAGAAAATAAGTAGTTTGTTTTTGTACTTTGTGGATCATTTGATTGGGTTTTCTATTGGGCTTCACATCAAAAAAACATTTGGGCTTTTAAAGAATGTTATTGGGGTATTTTTATCATGAATTTACTGTGTTCAATTCTCTAAAATAAAGATAAGAAAAATTATATATACAAGTTTTTCTTTGGTTTCTCCTTGAAATGCAGGGGAGAAGGAATGAAGAACATGATAACAAAGAGGACTGCCAAGATCAACAAAAGTCCAAAAGCCTTTTTCCATCCATATTCATCTACTATGTAAGCAGTTGCTGTCATGGCAGTTATAAGAATAAGGGAGGATGATGTGTAGTAGTACATAAAAAATCTCTCTAGGGCCCCTATTGTCTTCTAATTTATCTATTCCTTCCAATTGATCAATTCCGAAGGCTGTGGGACTGCTAACACAACCAGCTCCAATGGAAATGAGAGAAAATGTGGAGAATAGATAACTCAATTGTGCTGTTGTTGGGGATGTGCAACCTGATGGAGTGCAAGGGCGTGGGAAGCCTTCATTTTGGAATCATGGTTGTTGGACATAAAAAAACATCCCCTGTGCAATTCAAAATTCAACATGATTAATCCCTTGAAATAAGAATTAAAAATGCATAGTTCAATTTAATTGTATGGTGCAAGGCATCAAGTGCATTAATTGAATATCCCAATCAAATAAAGAAAAAGGAAATATGTGATGCAAGGGATAGTAGTGATGTGGTCCTACTACGGAAAGATGAGTAGTTGCCTTACATTTTTAGTATGATGATAAAGTGTAATAAATAAATAAATGGATGAAGAAAAATGTATATTATTATATCACACATGCACATCAAATTTATAGGAGAAAAGTGGAAAATGACAACCATACAAGAATGAAAGCTAGTCATAAGAAAATAGTATTTTACCAATAGACTGGATACAGAACCGAAGCCAACAATGGGAAAACGATCCATATACGATCGGAGATGAAACCGCACAAAAGAGTCATAAAGTCTGTTGCAGCATTTGAAAGGAATATTTGCATTGTTCGCCTTAGTGGTGGCCATTTGATACTCCTTGGTAAGGTGATTAAAAGCAGCCCATTGGACACCACCTTTTGAAATGCTTCAGTACTGAAATTTCACAATTCAATATATACATCAAACTCAAGATTCCAAAACTCAGAACCATATCATGGGAATTCACCATTTTTACAAGAAATCATTAAAAAAAATCATAAAACCCATTTAGAAAGTACATTTATTTGTGTATTTTATATATGGGTATTTTGCACATGTCAAAAGGTTTCACATGTTAGCTATTTTAGTTTAGTAAACG